GAATTGAACATGTCGGATACAGCTACTTCGTTTAAAATTGTAAAAGAAATATTCAATACTAAGTATTGGTTAGATAAAAATACAAAAATTGTTAATTCTTCCTCGATTTTTCGAGTTGCGTATCCACACAGTTTTTGCAATGATCTTAAATTGTTATCTAGTTCGATATTGTTTGGTAAGTGAATCTTATCATTTTTTATACACTTAGAAAGTTGTAGTTTGTGCTCTGTTTTGTTCTTTTTTATTATAAAACGATAAGTACCTCCGATGTATCTGTATATATATGTATATAGTGAAGGCGAGTTCCACCGGTAAAATACCATCTTTACAGTGAATCCTGGCGCATTAGTCGAGACCTATCTCATTCGAAAGAGCATCAAATTCTGAGTCAGGAAATGTATTTTTAATTTTCTAAGTCGATGCGAACAGGTCCGGGACGGGCTCGGGGGGTTTCAGTTTTTCCACGTTCCAGGGGAAAATTGCACTGTAATTTTCTCGGCCAAATCGAAACCTACCGAGCTGAGACTTTTACCAAATACATTTTGATCATTTGTAAGTCGAATGGCGAAAGAACGAAGTCACCATCACGTACCTGCCGCATCCACCGTCGATTTCAAAATTGGTCGAGTTTGAAAGCAAATCGTTCAGGTTTTTGGAAACATCCGGCCCCTTAAAGTAAATAGCTTGTAGTTTCGTGATTTTTGAACTTAAAAATCCGCAAAATATCTCACTTTACTCAGAATTCTACGGGCTTTCAGAATACGTATGTTTGGAAAATTTTGGCTTGCCCTAGAGGTCACTAGGTTTTCCAGGAAACCTGAGTTTTGAGAACCCTATAACTTCGGAGAGAAGAAATACATATTGGGTTTTCGACGGATTCATATACCGCTGGAAAATATTGATAGGTCAAGAGCTTTAGCTATTTGTAGTAAAAGAAAATCGGTGTACATGAACAACGGCTAACGGTCAGCCAATATGATTAAAGTAGAAGGTAAAAGTCAGCAAAAGTAAAAGATATCCAATTGTAAACCACGCTTTCGGCATAGGACACTGTCTTTTGTTCTATTTGTCAACGTTATTAAACGCAAAAATATGGACGAAACAAAATCGTGAGTCGCTAACGTGATAGCGCGTGAGTGATAATGCTACTGGAGAAAAGTATACAACGAAAGAAGAAAAGTGATGATCATCAAGTGTCTTATATAATTTTGAAGTGTAGAATCTAGTCTTTCTTGTCATCTGTTTAAAAGTCGCTTTACTACGAGAAAGATACCTTCGCAAAATTAGAAGAAATCGATGTCTGTGACTAACCGAAATTCGAGTTTAGTTAATCTTTTGACTAAACTATATTTATTTCAGACTCTCATTGATATTACACTTACTTTTGTTGGGCTATCTAATTCACGTAGTGACACCTGATATTAACCCATACATAGACCTACTGAAAGTTGTTTGTTTCAGCTAAAATTTGAAGTCCGAGATACCCTTGCATGGTTTTTGTTGCTGGCTACTTAATATGAAATAAAACGCAGAAGAAAAAACACAAAACTTTTTCAGGAATTTCTGGAAAACATCGTCAGGAATTATGCTTTTTTAATTCTAGCTTATTTCGGCATATAGTAAATGTATCTCGTATCCGGCAATTTGTAAAACAGTTGCTTGATATCAAGCTCACTGTGACTGAAAAACAGAAGCGTTACTGAGAAAATTTAAAGAAGGAGGGTCTTCATGATGCTATAAAAGCAAAAAACCGTGCAAGAATGAAAAATGCTCGTAGTAAATTATCCAGTTTCAAGCGAGAACAGTATCAAAAGCGTGACACAGCAGCCTGTAAAATTGCTCGAGCTGCTAACAAATGCCAGTCGAGATATGTTACCTGAACCTGCCCCGCTTATGTCAAGCACGTAATTTATTTTACTATGCTTAGTGTAATCAACATAATGAATAGAAAAGAATTGGTCTTGAAGCCATCCATAAACCCATCTGAATAGATCACGTGGCATGTCAATAAAAAAGGAGTTGATAACCTCTTCTATAGAATTTCATACAATATACATTCAGAGTATGTGTTTGTTTGTACAAACGTTTGTCCGTTTTCGTAAAACGTTAGATTTATTACAGGCGATAGGATTTTCACGATAACTTTTGAACAGCTGTTTATATATTGATATAACTAATTGATATATTGGTATAACTATTGACTGTCACATTTAGCTGCTGACGTCTGTTTGAATAAAGACGAAACATCTAATAGAAGATAATTATATTTTCCATTATAATAAAGGTGATTTACATCTAATTGTCTATGTTATAGATAAATAAATAATAATCAAAGGTCTTAATCAAAGATTAAGCGCTTAGTACTTTTCTGGACTAATATATATAAATGAATGCAATAAAAAGCTGAAATCATCATAAATACAGACACAGTATGTGTGAGTACATTTCTGAGATTGGTTAGACATGAGAAAAGTTACCTACTCCGTTGTAAAGGATACTTATATTGTCATAAAATAAAATCGTTGATACTAGACATGGATGGAACTCAGACTAAAAAGAATTTTGACCTAGGCGGAAACTGGAATCAAGGACTTTTTTTGACAATTTCGTAAAAACAGCTAAAAACTGACCTTTTTTCTATACTTAAATATAATATAATAAACCGCCGAGAAATCTGATAGTTCTTTCCTAGACGTTGATTCTTTTATCTATTCCGTGTACTGTGTCATGCAAACTTTATTAAAACACCAAAATCTCGATTTAAGATTTTAAAAGCATATGACTGCCACACGTTCAAGTACACCTAGAATCGAATACAATTATATATAGACATACGTGAATTGAGAAGTTTCATCGAAGAAAAAAAATGGAGGTGCGGGGCATCGATCCCCGTGCCTTGCGCATGCAAAGCGCACGCTCTACCATATGAGCTACACCCCCATGTCTCTCGTTCTGTTATTTTTAGTCTAAAGTTGTTTGAAAGCTTGACTATTACAGGTGGAACGTGGTGGAGTACCAATTATAGCAGAAAAAGAGATATATATTTATACTTTCATAGTAGCCCTGCATATTAGTTGAAATTAAGAGAAATTTAGTGTATGTTTTCTTATAGACAGCCAAATAACAATTTAATATCTGATAGTTTCACTTGCATCAGTGTTTTCAAAAGAATCCTATTCGGTAGTGTTTATGAAACGGCGCTTTCTTACGACCTTATATACCTCGGTAAACTCGATCTAAACGGCGGTCTGTGAATACCGCTCATCGTAGCGGTTTCTTAAACCACGATGTTTACAATTTAAACTTCAGTTTATCTTCACCACGCTTTTTAATGATTTCGAGACCGCGATTTCCTTCAATAAAACTGCGGTTGGATGATGCGCGTTCTCCCCCCGACTGGACAGTGCGGTTTGTATCAGCAAACAAAAATACTAAAATCGCTACTTTATCTGCTTTTTGTCGCCACGAAGATGTCGTATCAGTTGTGTCGCCAGGAGTCCCAGATCTTCTGATTCTGGCAGAAAATTTCTGATTTTTTGAACTTTTTCTTCCTAATTTCTGCTCTTTTTTCGAAGGTCTATTGATTTTTCGATTTTGAACTTCTTTTCTCTGAGGTCTTTCAGATTTTCTTGCTTTGGATCCGATATCCCTGGCCATCTCCCACATGTTTCTTACTTAAAACACTTAAATCGGTAAGATGTAACATCAGTTTTGATCATTGTATAAACAACCCGAGATGGTTTAATGGAAACATGTTGGACAAGCAAATCGAAGGTAAGGAGTTCGAATTTCACGCAACGACTATGAAAGATTGGTAGTTTCAGGTAGGCTAACCGCAATGTAATAGCAGCAACACCCGTGGTGTATGGATGCAATGGTAAGAACAGGGCAAATGCGGTCAGAGCTATAGAAGCAAACGCAGAATGAAGAAAGAGAGAAGGACGGAAAACGAACAGATATCGACGATAACACCAAGAAAATCGTTTTGTAAAAAAACCGCTTGAAACCGCGGAATGAAAAATCGCCATTTCGGCCGGTGTGTAAAAGCATAATAAACGGTCTGACTCCCGCGGTGTATTAAAACCGGGAAAAGCCGAGGGTTTTTATAGCGCGGTTAACCGCGACTTTATTCAAAAATTTCTCCGTGGGCAGAGTCTAATATTTAAAATCTCCTTGATCCTGTTATGTGCACAAAATATTTGTAACGCCGGAATTTAACAAAAATGAACGAAAAAAGATTGCTTGTGTCGATGATACCTAAAACATATAAATACGCCATTAATTGCGCATACCTACGAATACGGGGTGCTACAACTAGTTTGAATAGTAAGCGTCAGATTTTAAACCCACTTTTTCCTGACAATTTTGGTTAAAAAAAGACGAATAAAATAGCTAACGGTCCTGAAATCAACGCACATCCGAAACTCAGGACCTTTGCGTCTAAACATTTATTAAATAAAAATGGTACAATAAATATATTGTATGAATTTTAAAATTTTTATCGCATTTTGATGCTGCGATATGTTTTCGACAAACTGAAAACTCCCTTATTTTCGAGCTTTGTTGTGAAAGAAAACTCTTCGTTTCGCGTAAGTCGGTTCCCATTTAATTGCATAATTGCGCCTATTTTGACGGCACATCATGCGACTACCTCTGGTAGTCACATCAATCCGTCTACTTCTAAGTCGCATGAAAGACACTGAAGTTGGTTCCCATTTAGCCGTATTTCAGCAACTCTTTTGAAGTTGCTTCTAAAAACTGGTAGAACCATCGCAATTCATCTTTGATTATTATTGTTCTAAGTGCAATGTGATGAAATACACATGTTACTTCGAGTGTATTGCAAAATTAATTCGACATTTATTTAATATGCCTTCTCATTTATTTTCTTTTGATTTGGCACTCGCGTCTGATAATTATGAAAAAGAAAGAGTATAAATGCTCAGCTTTCGTAAAGGGAATGCATTTCTCATCCTTCGAATCGGCTTATACAGACAGAGATGGCAAAGCAAATAGTTTATATGTTATCGTTGATGGCATTCATATTGGCGTACGTGTTTTCGACGATTGATGCCGATAACTATGGAGGGGAAAACAAACGAAACAAAAACATCTATCGTCCATCTGAGTATTCGGATAAAAGCAGCGACAGTGGAGACAGTAACGACTACGGGATTGGAGATTGGCTTGTGTTTATCCTCTCAAAGAAATACAATCGTTATCCACATAAATATTCGGATCAAGATAGCAATAGTGACTCTAGCGATAGTGACTCCAGCGACAGTGACTCTAGCGATAGTGACTCCAGCGACAGTGACTCTAGCGATAGTGACTCCAGCGACAGCGACTCCAGCGACAGCAGAGACAGTAACTACTACGGGGAGTCTTCTGGACGTCACGGAGAATATTCACCACGCAAGGCTGAACATAAACAATATCCAGAAAAAAAGGAATCATATGAAGCGAAACCACACAAAAGCTACAAATCAACTACAGAACAGCCAACTACACAAAAACCAACTACAGAAAAGCCAACTACACAAAAACCAACTACAGAACAGCCAACTACACAAAAACCAACTACACAAAAACCAACTACAGAAAAGCCAACTACACAAAAACCAACTACACAATACAGTAACAACTACGGGAGTGGAGATCGAGATGATGAATACAACCGTCGTCCACAGAAATATTCGGATAAAAGCAGTGACAGTGGAGACAGTGACGACTACGGGGAGTCTTCTAGACGTCACAGCAAATATTCACCACGCAAGCCTGAACATAAACAATATCCAGAAAAAAAGGAATCATATGAAGCGAAACCACACAAAAGCTACAAACGAACTACACCAAAACCAACTACAGAAAAGCCAACTACACAAATACCAACTACGCCGAAACCAACTACGCCGAAACCAACTACGCCGAAACCAACTACACAAGCAGCAACTACGGAAGAAACAGCTAGTTATAGTCAAGAAGAAACGGAACCTGTTCAAGAGTCATCTGAGGGTTGGTAAAGATGAAAAATTAGCAGAAACTGAATCTTTTATTTTATTCGTCTGCTTTCTTTTGTATCACATGTAGTGTTCATCATTCTGATTCACTTACCCTTTGACTGAAAAGAAATCGACAATATCAGATTGTTTCTATGGAATTCTATGGAATAAAACATTTATCTTTTTTGGTCACATTACTTTCTCAAGAACTTTCTCAACAAGCAGCAGCGAGCTAGTATTACGACAGTTCTGACGATCATCGTTGTACCTGCAAGGCAACAGATAAATGAGGCACATTCCCAATTATTTACTATCGAAACGGAAAGGTCGTGCCGGTTGCCGTTTTTCAAATAACTTTTTAACGAAACATCTTAGCGGCCTGCGGTTTTCACTATCGTATAGAGGACACTTAAAGCCATATTTTTATAAGCAAAAACAAGTTTCAAAAAAATTTCACAGCCTGGTTTTTCAGGAGATCTTTGAAAAGATCTGAAGGATGAAGCCCTGGCTTGACTCCCATTTTGTAGAGGACACTCTAGGCTACATACCCATGCAAGCAAACGATCGGGTTTCTATAAGACTTTCGGAAGCTCTGACCTGGTTTTTCAAAGATCTCCTGAAAAACCAGGCTGTGAAATTTTTTTGAAACTTGTTTTTGCTTATAAAAATATGGCTTTAAGTGTCCTCTATACGATGGTGAAAACCGCAGGCCGCTAAGACCTTTCGTTAAAAAGTTATTTGAAAAACGGCAACCGGCACGACCTTTCCGTTTCGATAGTAGTTCTTATTTCTAATCAAAAATTGTGCACATATGGCGTTCACACCTCCCTTTGGTCGGCGTACGCTACAGGACTATCCACAATATGTGCGTATGTACGTCCGTCAAAATAATGTTTTCAACTGCTATGCAGCACCATCTATCACTCTGGATATCTATTGTGCCACTGCTTATCTATTGGATAATCTTCAATAGATGTAGGTGTTTCGACAGAAAGACACTGGCGGGCATTTAACACTTACAAGACTCTACCCTCCGGTGGAGAAATTTTTATCGAATTAAGTGCGGATAAACTTTTTCATCGTAGATGTCGCTCATAGTCATTTTCTGATTCCCCATAGTTGACTACCTGCTCCATATCATTTTCATCCAATCGAGTGGAAATGATGTTTTCCACCAATGAGAGGCACCACCGGTATCATGATGCATGTGTTTTAATTGTGAAAGAATTGTGAATAGAAAATCGTTGTATATACAGAGTGCTCAGTTCGTACAGCAGGACATGATCCACAAAACATTTATTTGGTTGATGCTCTATCAACATTGAGATTGAGCGAATACATTGAAAACAAAATAAAACAGTTGATGATTAAAGCTATTGCAGATTGTTCAAAATATCAGAACATTTACGTATGTGTTGCTTGTTCATATGATAACAAGTTCGATACCAACAATGATTTAACAGAACTATACGGAATTGACATACCACCATCCCACAGATATAAAAGTCAAACGATATTATTATTCCGTAAGATAGACGGAAGATCTGTGTTATTGTTTATAATGTATGTTCAAGAATACGATGAAAAACAATTCGTCAGCAATAAAAACTAACTGAATAGCTGATTATATTGTTCTAAGTTCTAATGTGGGTTTATTGTATTTTTAGTCGGTTTACGATATGATATATAGATTCCGGTAATTTTCGCTCGCCAGGTGATGATCGAAACATGATCTATTTCACTGTGATCATAAGTTATTTGGATTATATGCGACAATTTGGTGTTGTTACAATATCATCTGTTGTTAGTGACAAAATGTTGGGAGAAATTTTATTTTTCAATATGAAGTAAGTAAATGAAGACAAATTCTTTACATAAAGTACCTGTGATTAATAGCTAACAGAAACATTATATAAATTTTTAATTTAAATTAACTGCGACTTTTTAGAATAACATAGCGGGATCTAGTCTTGAATGAATGAACTTGTGTAATTATTACTTTGAAATTTCATCATCCCATATTTCGACAATGGGTCGAAAACTATTTGAAGAATAGATCCCGCTATGTTATTCTTGAAAATCGTGAGTTACACGTTCGGAAATAAGTTCTTCACTGGGTATAATACAACTCTTTTAGTATGGAAAACTTCTACGTTGAGTGTCTACAGTCTAAATAAATGGTTTTTTTACTGAATTTCAAGATCTTGGATAAGATTTTCAAAGAACATCAAGTCAAACATATCACCAGATCTGGGTCACGAATTTTCAAGAAGTAGAATCTATAAAGAACTTGTACAGATTTCTATTTTCTGCAGGATGTGGGAACAACAACGGCTATGGTAATACCATTCGTTCATAGCTGTAACTTATTGTTTTTCGTTTTAGAATATGGAACTTCTTATTATTCGTTTCTCGTGTATCAATTTCTGTTTGAAGACTATCGACTTCAATTTTACAATAGTCAGAAGGATTTAGGTTTTTTGCTTCTAATAAATGTTCATTTGCTAAATTATATTCAGCTAATTATAATCTTAAGATATAGTTAAGTGAATATGACTTTTAGCTATCCTGAAATTGTTGTTTTGTCGGTAACATTTCATTTCACGCTTATGTTTTAACAAGTGATATTTGGAAGCCTCTGATAATCTTGTTAATGTGTCGAAACAAATTGTGACAATTCGTCAATAAACGTGAGGAGTACTTTAAGGATCTAATTGTGGTTATTTTTGAAGAATATCTAATGTTTTTTCATCGTTTGTTAATGCATTATTATATTCACATAACTAGTGAATTTCGGCTATTCTAACAA